CTCCCTCTCTCCCTCCCACCCTTCCTCCTTAAGACCTCTGCACAGAATAGCATGATCTTTTTAAATCTTCGAGTTAAAGAACACAAATTATTATTTCTGGACAGTGATACATTTTTTTCTTTTTATGTATTTGATACAGGATCTACAAGGTCTCACTACACAGATTGGACTTGTAATGATCCTCCTGCTTTTCAGCCTCCCAAACACTGGGATTACAGGTGTGCATCACCACACCCAGTCTCAATCACAGTCTCAGCACACCCTTGGGGTGGGGCCAGCAGGCAGACCAGAAATCTAACACCCAGGCCCTGCATCTGCCAAAGGAGGTGCTTTAATCTGCTGAGCTATCTGGCCAGCCCTGTATTTTTTTCTATTTGCCACTAGTTTAAAAACTAAATCTATTGGATCCCCGGTGTGCCATGCTGGCCCCACCCCTAGGGCACACTGAGAGGGCGATTGAGACTGGGCATGGTGGGGGCGCCTGTAATCCCAGTGCTTGGGAGCTGAAAACAGGAGGATCACTATGAGTCCGATCTGGGTAGTGAGACCCTCTAGACTATACTAAAATCCATTAATAATAATAATGTCTAACCAAAACAGGATCCTTTCCTCTAAAATTATTGAGTGCATTAATATTTTATTTTTACTCTTTGTAATATGCCTTTCCTTTAAAGATATGTCATTTTTCTTTTGACTCTTAGGACACAGTAATTCCTCCTCCATCTAAGGCCTTTATAAGGACAACAACTGCGTGTTGTCTTAGTCCTAGATTTAGCTGTACTAAGTCAAAAGGCCATAACAAAGATTTCACTTTTAAACATTAGATGTTTTACTGTATCATAAAGCACATAAATGTGTACCTATTTGTTGGTCTTTTAGTGTAGAATTAAGGCTTTTCTTAGAAAAGGAGTCTGTAAGTTAAAATTCAATTTTCTCTTTTTTTAAGTTTTTCTAAAGTCTCGATCTTTTCTGATGCTTTTTTCAGGGGGTAGGGGTCAGTTTTTAAAACTCAGTAAAAAAAATACCAGCTCACAAATCCACTATTAGGCTGCTATTTGTATAGTTTTATTTAGTAAAGGGGTATTATTTTGTAGAAGAGGCTTCTAAAGTAGGGATATTATTTTAAATCAATATTCTTTTCCTTCAATTTTTATTTTCTATTAGTATATTTTGCAATATATAATCACACATCTTTATTCTTTTTATCCCCTTCCTCTCCCATCCTTCCCACATCCCTCCATCTCTTGGAGGGATGAACCTTTTCCAAAAATGAACCTCCTAGGTCCTATTACCTGTCTTTTACTTTGCTCTTTATATTTTGGGTGTCGCACATAGAGAAACTGCTGTATTTAAGCTTGTGTGTTTCTTATTTTATTTCTCATTAAGGTTTAAATGTACATCCATTTTCCTAGAAATGACTCAAATTTATCCTTCCTTATGGCATAGCAGTACTCCTTTTTGCATAAATACCACATGTTCACTATTAGAATCAATATTATTATACATTTAGCTCTATATCTGAGGGTTCAACCTAGCACAAAATGAAAAATTTATGAATTTATTGTAATTTATGTACAATCTGTACTGAAAATGTTCAGACTTTATTCCCTTGTCAATAATCCCTAAAACAATATAAAACCCATTTCCCTAGTATTTATACTATGCTAGTTATTATAAGTAATATGCAGATGATTTAAAGTATACAGGAGAATATACAGAGGTATTATATTAAGCAAATATCAAGAACTTAAATATCCATAGATTTTGGCATCTACAAGTAGTCCAGGTACTAACCAAACATGAAAGGACAACTATCATAAGTATATTAGTTAGAGTTCTTCAATTATTTCTCTCTCTCTCTCTCTCTCTCTCTCTGTCTCTGTCTCTGTCTCTGTATTTAATTCAAAGTTGAAACTTACTTTGTGTGTGTATTTTTTTTTCTTGTTCTTATAGAACCTACTGGGTTGGTGACATTTACAAGACAGAGTCTTGAAGAATTTCCAGAATGGGAAAGGTAATAATCATAAAAAGTCTAATCCCCCTAAAATTAGGACTTTTACTATGAGAGGACTCTATTTTCCAGCATTGGCATGGTTTCCCAAACTTGTAATCACCCTAGGGTCAGGGAGTTTCTTATAAATCAGTTCATAGCCCTCATTATTAGGAAAGTTCTATCTTTTAAATAAAAACCTGTAACTGTCTGATTGCTACCGTTTTTACCTTAGTTTTATCTTCTGAACTAAAGTTTTGTGTAGAATTGGTTTGTGTGTGAAGACACTAAGTGACACACAGATACTCAAATATTCCTTCTAACTCTCTGGTTAGTATTTATATTTTATGGCTTTTATTTCTGAAGGACAAAATTAGAGCTTTTTTTTTTATAAACAATAATTGTCTTAACATTTGCCTGAGTGGGAAGAATTTTGAGGTATGGCTTTTCCTGTGTACCACTGAAATTTTGTGGAGGGTGCAAACTGACTGTTCTATTTGTTTTATCTGAAAATGCCAAGAATAACAACCAGCTGAATTAATTCCAATGTATAAGATCTCTTTTACCGTGAAATAGTTAACCTAATCTAGAGCAAATCTGCAAGACATGTACAGAAGTGGGAGTCCATCTTCGCAATGCCTATGAGGGCATAAGCATACTACATGCATATTTTTAACATACATTGCATGTTAACCATTACCTCTCATTTTCACTTTCTTATAATTTTATTTTATTTCTTATTGTTTTGCTTGGAATTAATGGTGAAAGGGGATCACTCTTCAGGGAATTTAACTTGAAAAGGCATACCTGCTTAGTTGGCTTTTTTTTGTGTGATGTTTTCATCTACCAAAGATATTTATTCATCAGGTAAAAGAAAAATTTCAGAAGACTGAGTGTATGGTTGAGATGATTATTTTAAAATGGCTAAGCTTGTGCATCCTAAAAGAGGGAATTAAAATTGAACCAGAAAATGAAGAGAACATGCACAGGAGTTTGGAATCATGGCACATTAGAGGTGAAAGGGATTCCAGGAAGTCATCTGGCCCCACAATCTAATAAAAATGCTAGTCTGCTGGGTATTGCCTTCAACACGTACAGACTGAGCAGCTTCAGGGATTAGACAGTCATGGCTTTACCTCAGTCTCCACAGTTGCTGCTTGTGTTCATTGTGGAGTGACAGTTAAGTAAATGAAATTTCTTTATAACATTTAGCCCTCTTTCACGTATATTCAAGGTGTCCTCCTTTCATCTTACAAGTACCTTCTGGACCCACTGTTAATAGTGAGCACAAGTCCATACTATTCTATCATTTCTGGATTATATACCTGCTTGTGATATGTGGCTATTCATTGGCTTTTCTTAAAATATCATGCCTAGAACCAAAAGTAGCATTCTGCTGTCATCTGTCTACACTCTAATACAAAAGATCTCTTTTCTTCACTCTTCTATTTGTCTGTAATAGAAGTACAGGTGTTTTGTCCATTTTATTTTGGTTTCAGTTTTGTACACTATTCATAGAGCTTTTCATTTGGTACTAAGGCAGAAGGACACCCATTTGTACATTGCCATGTGAGAGAGAAGAGACAGGTCAAAATGCAAAAACTGGAAAGATTGCTGTGTGAATGAGGTGTAGCATCTTTGCCCCTAAGTGAGATCAAGAAATTGTCTTGTTAATTTTGGCAGTCAAATTTAACATGGTACCTTTCATTGGGGTTTTTTGGAGTTTTTATTTTTGGTGGAACAGGGGATTGAACTCAGGCTCTTGCACTTGCCAGGCAAGCGCTTATTCTACTGAGCCATCTCCCCAGCCCTCTTAATTCATTGATTTCTCTTTTGATTTAGCTGCTTCATAAGTAAGTTAGAGAATGTAACTAAAACTGGTCTCCTAGACTCCATAAAACCAGAAATGTGCATGAACTAAGAGAATGAGAAAGATGGTAAAAGATAAGAGGCTTCTTAGGGAGGAACCAGAAAGTTGGGCTTAAATTTCTAGCATGTTACCATTAGCCTTTGATGACAAACAAGTATCTTAGCCAGTTATTTTCAGAAACCCAAAAGAGTCGGTGTCTTTAATTCCTGGAGCAGTACTGTAGAGGATTTGCTGGGATCAGAACAAGAGACCCATCTGGAAATTGAAGGATACTTCAAACAGAAAATTTTTAGTGTTGTGTGATTGCAGCAGTAACTATAATGAAGTTTCCAGCTTTAGCTATGGACCATAGTTGCCAGTAGACAAAATTTGCTTTCTTAAAATCTGATGGACAGTCAAGAGATTTCTGCAGCTTGCTTCTTTATCTTATTCTCTGTGTCATCTCCCTCTGTATAATATGATTAGGAAAGCAGGACAAGAAATGGAAGTTTTTAAAAAATCAAACCTGTGAAGTTTCTATAAAAGATTGTGTATTGTTTTTTGTTTTTTGTTTTTTGTTTTAATTTTGGCGGGACTGGGGATTGAACTCAGGCCCTTGCATTTGCCAAGCAAGCGTTTTATTCTGCTGAGCCATCTCCCTGGCCCCAATGTATTGTTTTTCTAAAACTATAGAATATTAGTTAAGTGCTTACTAGTGAATTCTAATCTTTGCTACTTTATTTACTAGCGAGGACAAATTAATTTGCTTTTCCCTTTGTAAAAGAAAATAGTTATGAGGTTATTCTGCGAATTAAGGGAGTAAATATAAATAAAGCTCATAGAATAGAATTTGTACCAAATTGCCTTCTTAGTTTAAAGTTATCAATTATTAGGAGGAAGTTGTGCCAGACATGTATTTAGTAAACAGTGTTTCCCTAACTAGTTAAATTATTTTTTAAAAATTTGATCACCGCCTTCACAAAAAGTTATTACTAACGTTAGGAGTTTGGATCCCATCTCTGTTACATTCAAGAATAATGTGTATTTTTTATTTAGCAAGCCACCAGGGGGAAACATCTAGTAAGGAAATAGTATAATCATCAGTGAAATTGGTTTCAATATGTAAGATAGTCTCTCACTGAAAGGAAAATAATTGTGCCTTCTGAGAAGGTTGCATTGGTTGGCCTTGTTAATATAAAAATGCCACAGACCAGAATTTCTGAGGCATGTATTTTCATGAATACAACCTTCTCAAAATATAGTCACCAAATTTAGTGCATATACAGCCCATCTGAGTATCATGTATGATTTACTGCAGATTTTCTGTATTTTTCCTTAGACTATCAATTCTGGGATAAAATTTCATAGATCTTAATTTTTTTATATCCTAAGAAGTGTTAACCATATTACAGAGAAACTGATATGGAAAAAAGTAGGTTCCAAATCTGTACGTTGTCTCGTGTAACTTAGGTAATATTTACAGATTTCAATAAGGAAATGAAATCAGTATCAATTTCAGTATCAATTTTTCATAGCTATCTGTAGCTTCACATTTATCTGTAGTGAGGTACTTATTTTACAAAATGAGTAAAGGAATATCTCTTCCCATTATAGGTGTGAAAAACCCCTGACACGACTGCATGTCACTTATGAAGGCACCATAGAAAGCAGTGGCCGAGGCATGCTGCAGGTGAATTTCAGTGTGTGTGTGTGTATGTATGTATGTATGTATGTATGTATGACTTTTTCTTGTCAAGCTTTTGACAGCAAAGGAAATTGAAAAGCTGTTTATTTGCCTTCTAAATTGACTTAATGCAAAGAAGCGTGATAGCAGAATGGAGAAAAATACCAGACAGATGACTTTGACAGCTTTGGTCATGATGCTGTTTGCCAGTGTGTGCTCTCTGTTTCTTACATGAGCCCCCTGAAAAAGCCTTGACAGAAAGTCCCAAGATCTGGACCACATCAGTCCTTTGGTTCAGACATTGATTGTGGATTGACATTGGAGGAAGCTCCCAGGGTATGGTCTTGACAAGCTGTCACCAAGCAGTTTTGTTTTTTTTTTACTTCAAAGGCTCTTCCTCTGCCCCAAATGATGACCAGCTTGAGATGTTTTTCTGCCTTATTTAGGTCTAGAAGGCAGACATTTGAAAGTGATTGATAAGAAAGGCCTCTCTCCCATCTCTAAAAGCATTAAGCTCATGAGGCAGCATGCTATTATTTTTTTCCTTGCCAAAGAGCAAGTAATTCTGTCCATTCTCTAGTCTCATTATTAATTTGTTACATTATGTTTTTTAAATCTAGGAAAATAAGTTAATAAAATATGATATATATCTAAATGTAAAATATAACACCTAACCTGAGTATGTCTGATTGTCTTTGTTATTTATAGTGATTTTTAAAATTCACTAATCAGGGATAAAATGTTTTTGTTTTCTGTTTTTAACCCCATGTAAAAAAGCATTGTAAACTTTTTTTTTTTTTTAAGAAGCTTGGGTATCATCTCATTAATAGTCTGGGATAGTCTGGGAAAAGCTGACTTTTCTTCTTGGATCTTTCTTTGGAGTTTAGATCAAAAGATAAAGCAGTTGTCAGGAAATAGACTGATTTGGGTAGACCAGTTTATGTGTAGTTATACTCTACGTGTCCAAGTGACTAATGACACAAATTTTTCCTAGAATCACCTTTTATTTAGATGTACTTGTGATTAAACTATGTACTTACGTTTACAACTATGTTTTAAATTACCTTTTCCCAGTGTTTGATTGTATAAACAGAATTACTTATTAATAATTTGTCCTACACCTAATTTGTTCAAAAGCAAAAAAATGAAAGCCACCCAAAACATTTTTTATTTATTTAATCATATACATTTTCTTTTACTGAAAAAATAATTTTAAAATGTTCATAAAATGGTTTCCAGGGAACATCTCTTTCCCCCACATCTCCTTTATGAAGTTATTTCCTATTTTAACATCTGGATAAAATGAGGGAGTCTTTATGTAAGTGAACAAAACAAAGCTACTACTAGTTAGCACCACAGGAATTCTGATCTTTCTTTGCAGTACAATTCAACAAGAAATTGTGTAGTAGTCATCAAAGTTGAGATTCTCCCCACTACCCAGGATATATTATAAACAAAACATGAGACCATGCTAGAGTGAAAGAACACCATAAAGGCTCTTAGCACTATTAATTGTTCTACCTCTCCAGGTCCTGTCTCCCTGGGAGATCAGGAATATTGTGTTGCAGTGCTCCAGAGCTCCTTGTATAGCACATAAATTACATTATGCTGAATGGCAACAACAACAGAACCTCTCTAAGGAGTGTTAACATTTCTCTCATTTCATCAAATTATAATTCAGAAGCTGAGTAATCTGAACAAGTAGCTTTACAATAAAGAGACTTGGAAAATGCTTCGCTAAATATAAAGAAGCACTCAGATGCTTGCTTGTATATACTGGAATACCTTTCTCACATTTTATAGAGAGCCTTTTAAGAACTTTCTGTACATAGTAGAAACTTCAGTTTTCTTTAAGGCCCCTGCTCTTAAAGGCATATTAAGGTTAGTATACTTACCTCTGTGCACACCTTTCAAGCAGTGAACCTTGTTGGCCTTTTATCAGTGAGCAATAGCAGACATATTGCATGTGTTTCATTTTCATGATTATTATCAAATAGTACAGAAGTTGGATAGAGCTTACCTTTTTATTTTTTATGTTCAGTACCTTATTCCAATAAAATTTAAGTAGATCTGGAACCTCCTTGGTTGTTCATTTTTGCTCACAGTATCATTTTACTCATAAGCACTCAGTTGGTCTCTCGGTGCTCCAGAGTTCCATTCATTTCTTGGCTAGGTCTGCCTGATTTACTGTACCACTGCCCTATTTGAGAGCCTCATAGTACTTGTCTAAACTACCACTGAGAAGTTGACAAACTGATCACTTTTTTTTTAAATTTTACACCTGTTTAGATTATTATTTGTAGCCTGGATTATTTTAGTAAACCATAGGTCCATTCTGTGAATTTTTCCTAGAGTTTTTAAAAGTGACTATAAACTCCCTGGACTGCAGATTACCTCATCACCGCCTATAACCTTTCGTAAAGTCCCTTACATTTCAGGCGCCTGCTTAACATTCCTCCTACACCTTCTGACACTTGGTGTCCCCCTGTGTCCTTGTGTAGCTCTTCCTTCATCCCAAAAATCAGCTGACCCTGAATTGAATGCCATCCCTACCTCCTCCCCTGCTTGGACTCTGGATAATGCTCTTATGTGGGAAGCATCACATACATATTAATAGATTCTCTCTAATAAGTCATCTTGCCATTCTGCTTATGTGTCTGACTCCCAGGCAATTGCATCTCCTGAGACCTAAAACCCAGCACTTCTTACTCACTTTTGTGTCGTGTGGTTTCCAACACAATACCTAGTAAATAATTGTTGAGTGGAATAGACTAAGCTGCGAATCACCCAGTACCTAAAGACTTCATATGTGATAGGTAACAAATTCAAATCTCTAGACTAGTTTTGCCAAAATTATTTTTCTGTATCAGTTTAAGAATGGCTATGTTTTTAGCATTGATTTTAATATTCAGAAATAAAAACCCAAATACATGATTCTTTTCTTTGTTTCTTTTTTCTTTTTTTTTTCTTAAGACAGGGTTTCACTATGCAGCTGAAGCTGGCATTGAACTTACTTTGTACCCCAGGCTGGTTTCATGGTAGAGCACTTGCCTGTTATGCGTGGGGCAGTTCAGTTGAACCTTTTGTTCTTTATGCTGGATTTTTTTTTTTTTAAAACTAGGTATATTTTTTGTTGTTGTTGAAATATTTGGTGTTCGTCGTGAAGTTTGGAGTTCAATTTAGGACAAAAATTCCCTTCCTTTATTCTTCCATAGAAGAAAATAAGTTACCCCAAAGCAGTCAACTACTAAACGTTTTGGTCTTTAAGCAGGTATTAAATTAATGTTTTAGGGGCCGGGGAGATGGCTCAGTGGAATAAGCACTTCCCTAGCAAGTGCAAGTGTCTGAGTTCAATCCCCGGTTCCACCCAAAAAATAAATAAATAAATAAATAAAATAAACAGACGGACATTTTAAGAAAGGTGATTAGTTTAAAGCCGTTTAAAATATGGAGGGCTATAATGTATTAATTATTGAAACTGTCCTACTAATCAGTTTTGAAACTGTCGAAAATATGTAGGGCTACCAAGATAGCTCTGCAGACTAAGCACTAAGGAACTGAGGTTTGATCCTTAGCACCACACTGGCCCCACTCCCAGGCACACTGAGCGGGTCACCAAGACCTGAGATCAGGTATGGTGGTAGACGCCTATATTCCCGGCGCTGGGGAGGCTAAAAACAGAAGGATCACTACAAGTCCAAGCTGCATTATAAAATTGTGTACCAAATACATAAAAATAAATAAAATATGTAAAGGAACTGAGAGGGAAGTGTGGGAGGAATGACCTTTCCAGGTAAAGACCTATTTTGATTTATGGCTTTGGATGCATAAATAAAGGTTCTAAACTAGAGTGTAATATATAACATTTTATCTACAACTTCCATTTTCCACATGCCTCATGGATTTTGGGGGTGTGCAGAGATGCTAACTACCACAGGTGGAGAGAGAACAAGCAGCTATCTCATCCCCCGGGTGACTGCTAAGTGGGGACTGCCTTCCATGTAAAAAGCTGAGAACATAGCTTGTGCTTCTTTATCGCGCATATGTGCATTGAAGACCATCATTTAATATGCCACATTTCCCCAAATAGGTGGATTTTGCAAACCGTTTTGTTGGAGGTGGTGTAACCAGTGCAGGACTTGTACAAGAAGAAATCCGCTTTTTAATCAACCCTGAGTTGATTGTTGCACGGCTGTTCACTGAGGTGCTGGATCACAATGAATGTCTTATTATCACAGGTTAGTTTGGGAGTCCGGACAGTGGGGTAGTTGTCCTCGTCTGTGATTGTCATGAAGAGCAGAGGCTGCTCAGGTGAGCTTTTCTCTTCCATGGGCACTAGCCCCAGTATTTCAGTTCATTACACTTGTCTTTTGAAATTGTTATGGTCTTATTTTCCTAAAATATTCTATAGATTTTATCTCCCATTTTTTTTCTTCCTTAGCATCTTTATCTGAGGATATTCAGTTACTCCTCAAATGGAACTCTTATGATATAGTAATTCTCTTAGTAGAAGGTGGTGATATAATTTTGTTATTTTCCCACTATGTTTTTAAGTGATTTGCGTCTATTAAAAAATGTTGGGCCAGGGAGATAGCTCAGTAGAGCTTGCCTTGAGCTCCCTGGCAAGCTCAAGGTCCTGAGTTCAGTCCCTGGTGCTGCAAAAAATAAATAAAAAATTTTTAAAAATAGGATACATGTCTTTAAATATGAATGAATACCACAGTAACAATATTTTGGAGAGAATCAATGTAACTGAGCTTTACATTAAATGTGTAATCTTATGTTTATCCTAATTTCTAATCCTAAAAAAAGTATTATATTATTGCTTCTCTTTGATTTCTTTAAATTAATATGTGAAGAAAAAAGGGTAAAATTTAATGAGATTTATACTTTGAATTTCTAATTTTTGTTCTAATTTGTTCAGACTGAGATAGCACTATGTCACAGTATTTACATGTCAGTGAATTGCAAAAAGTTAATGCTGACCAAATTTAAGACTTCAGGGGCTGGGGAGATGGCTCAGTAGAATAAGCACTTCCCTGGCAAGCACAAGGGCCTGAGTTCTATTCCTGGTTCTGAGAGGAAAAAAAAAAAAATTACAAACTTCAGACCACCATATCTAAGTTAAAGCTTTTATTTGAATACCTAAAATAATTTTCTTACATAAAGGCCATAATGCCCCACCAACTGTCAGTACTTTTAATTCCTAAAAAAATGCATTTGTTTTTTTCATCTTGGACTTTATTGTTGCTTTGAGATTAGTGTAGGAAAGTGAACACTTGGATTTGAAAATTTAGTTTATTGCCTTTTCAAAGATTGCAGGGGCAGGGAAATGGCTCAGTAGAATAAGCGCTTCCCTGGCAAGCACAGGGCCTGAGTTCAATCCCCGGTTCCGCAAAAAAAAAAAAAAGATTGCAATGCAAATAAACCATCCCCTATGGTTTTTGTCATCCATATAAAACTTAAGTTGTCTTTGCAGAGGCATAAGTTAAAACTAAGACTGTAGTTTTGTCTTGAAGCCACACTCTGCCTCCAGTGCCTTTGTAGGCAGCCTATACATGAATCTCTAAATTTTGTTCTGATGTTTCATTTCCAATATTTTTTTAGGTCTTTGTTAAGTCTAGTGTTAATGACCATTGATTGATTTTTTTTTTTTTCCTCCCCAGATGTGACCCATACTCTTCATTCTATATCTCAAGTTGTTGTTGTGGTTGAGAACTGAACATTTTAAATAACGTAGCAACTCTGGAAATCAGATTTTCCCCTCATCAGAGTTCATTGTTACTATTTGTTGTTTAATGGTTTTCCTAAGAAAATTTGATAAAGTGTATTCTTTCTTATATATGGTTACTAAAGTCTCTGCTCAGTTAGGTTGGTATTCAGCTCATGATTATGTAAATTTCCTTAAATGCCAGGAGCCAGTAAGCCTCACTGTCTTTGTTTAAGTGCTCTATGTGCATGTTGGGGCTCACTTTCAACACTTCATCAAGTGGTTGATAGTGTCTTGCCTTTGCTTCCTGCTTGCACAGACTCAGAATCATGCAGTGGGGAAGGTGAGAGCCTTCTCAGGCCTTTCTTGGTCACTTGCACAGCTATGTACATGCATGTGGTCTTTGAAATTCCCAGATGTACATTAGACCCTTGTGAGTCCCTTGTGGACATCACATTCCTCAGCTTTTCCTTGAAAACTTATTGGTTTGCCTGTTACTTGCCCAGCTGATAGCAACCATCTCTGATAGCCTCAGTGCTAAGCAGTTGCCTGTGCTTATTTTCATCTAGCTCTTGGGGACTTGGCTTTTTATACTGGGCAAGCTCCAAGTCCAAACAAAGTGATGTTTTAGTGGACCACCAGATGGGTCTAGTGGTGACAGCTCTCTCCGAATAGGACATGAAGACCCTCGATGCCCTTCTGCATCCTGTGGTGCCTGCTGGAATGCTGGCTTTTACTTAGCTATGGATGACTGATTTTTAAGCCGACTATCAAGCTTAAGAAAGTGGGGTGGAAATGGGACAAATAAAAAAAAAAAAAACTACAAAGTTTGCAGTTTTTACCAAGATTTCAGCCAGTTTTCTTTGAGTAAGCACTTCCTGGTTTGCTTCAAGGCTTTCTTTAATTTCGACACTTGATTCTCAATGTGATTCTTTGTATTTTTCCTTTTATGGTCTGTGTCCGAGGCTGCTCCCCCCCCAACTCCCCCGCTTCATTTTTTTTTTATTTTTGGTGGTACGGAGGATTGAACTCAGGACCTTGAGTTTGCCAGGCAAGCACTTATTCCACTGAGCTATCTCCCCAGCAAGCTGCACTATTTTGCTTTACTTTTGTAAGCACTCCCAGGTAAAGTGGCTTTCAGAAACTTATACTGCATCATTCAAACATCCTATCTCCATTCTTACCCTTGTGGTTTCTGGTGCTTTGATGAGGTAAGACTAAAAGTTGTTAATTGTCTGAGTTATTGTCTTAGCTTAGAAACTAAGACTAGAATCTTAGCAAAAGAATTTCTTTATGATCCACATGGAACTAACATAGAAAAATAGGCCTCCTTAGCTCCCAGATTGCTCCAGCCTTCTCTGCACATTTGTGTGCTATCCTGTGGACGCATAGGGAGCACGTTGCTGAGGAGTTGCTGAGGAAGTGCAAATGCAAGGAAACCCAAAACGAAAAATGAAAACTGGCATAAATCCATTGTTGGGCAACTACATCCTTTGAACATTCGTCTTTACATGCTTTTAGGGAGCTTTCAAAGCCAGGAATCTGACTGGCCCCATCATTTTGGTATATCAATAAATACTTTAAAAGATTTTCACTTTTTAGCACATAGATTTGAATTGAATACTCAGTACAAAATATGCCATCAGTTTTTAAGATGAATTTACATTCTTTAAATTAAAAAACTTAGTAGGCAGTTAAACTCAAAACTAATTTTTTTCATTTACTTTCTTACAAGGGCCAGCCAAATAGCTCAGTGGATTAAAGCACTTGCAAGCAGGTGCAGGGGCTAGGGGTTCAATTCCCGGGCCTGCCATGCCACCCCCTCCAGGGGAGGGGGGCATGCCCTGAGATGGCAGTTGAGATTGGGCATGGTGGTGCTTGTAATCCTAGCACTTGGGAGGCTGTAAACAGGCAGATCACTACAAGTCCGATCTAGTTGTAGTGAGACCCTAAACACTCTGTAGACCCTTGCCTAAAATACAGGGAAAAAAAAATCATTTACTTTCTTACAGTTGTCTGCCTTAACGTTACTATAAATAACTAAAAGATGTCATTTTCTCTGAGAATATTAAGAGCATTGACTGTTTTTCCTTTTTTTTTAAGGATAGTTTGTCCCAGCCTGAAAAAGGGTCACTCTGGAGTTGATCTTCAGATTCTAACTTACCTGCAATCATTACAGAATGACTAGAAAAATGCAGACCCATGACTCATTTGCACATCTGTAATTACCTTAAGCTAAAGACACTTGAGGTGACTTTTAACTCGGCATTTTTCCCACATCCACTTAACTCTATTATAGTGCCTCCTAATTAATATCTGTGATGTGATGTTCCTTTAATGGAAATGGCCATTTCATCATCTATTTTATGTCTGGATTCCTGCCATCTCCTTTCTTAGGAGACTCATAACCATGTACTGCAATCTATCTGCCTGATCAATTCCATTCCTTCACTGATGCACCCAGGCTCAGTGAGCTAATGGCTGTGACTGTGCTGCCTGAATCTGTAGAAGAGTTTCACAAATTGGAAATAAATTAAATTTATCATCATTGTGGGATATCTGGTTGCAGTCAGACTTTTAAATAAATATGAAACATGTCAGGCAAGCAGCAAATATTTTTATCCAGACAATGCTGTCCCTCTGCTGTAATCTTCCCTATAGTAGTCTATAACTATGGATGGAGGAAAAGAATTAAAACTCTAGCCTTCCCTTTTTTTTCCCTTCTGTCAGGAGTTCCTCTACAACATCCCATAAATAGCTTCAATACCGGAGGTTATTCTGGGGCCCTAGGGGGTTTGCTTTTGTGAGCACAGTGGAGCAGAAGATAGGTTCAGTCATTTTGGTACTCCACTGCTTTGAAACTGTTTGAATGGTACTGGGTATTTTGATACAAAAATTTTGTCCCAGCATTTGTCATTTGTTTGATGCTAAGACACACAGGCTAGAACTTGGATATCAGTTGCTTCAGGACTTACCACTCTTTCCAGCCAAAACAGTTTGGTGCTGGCTTTTAGTACTCTTCCTGCCTCCTGGAACCAGTTTAATGAAAACTACCAAGGTACTACTATATATTCAGAATAAAAGCATACCGATAGCAAATCAGGTCATCCTAAGTATCTAATGTCTTTTCCCCCTTCTGAATGTCAGCAGAAGTGGCAGAAAAAGTGAGTCTTACCTACTGCTGGGCAGAAAACAGAGAAAAAATAAGTCCACATGTTCCTGGCTTTCTTGGTTCCCATCAGGCCTATAGACTAGGTTACTTTTAACCTCTGTGTAAATAAGCCACATAGTTTTGTTTTCTTTGCTCCCTTACATTTCTGATTTCTGTATGGCTTTGAAGGTTTTGAACTTATTTGGCTGTTCAGGTAGTTCTGTGATGTAAAAAAATAATTAATGAACTTGATAAATAAATGAATGTGGCTTGATAAAGAGTCACTGGGTCTCGTATCTCCTGATCTCACTGTGGTTCTCTTTACCACACTATGCAGATGTAAGCATCTGTATGTATAGGCACTAAATATAGGGTGC